GTTTCCCTTTGTTCCCGCCCGCCGCTGTAAGGCCCGCGGAATGCGCACCACCGGCAGGGACTCCTCGGGACAGCGGACCGCCAGGTCCCGACGAGGAGCCAGGAGCAGCCGGGCCACAAGCACCAAAAGACTCTTCGGCCTTGTAAGAGCCATGTTCCCTGTGGTGCGGGAGAGGCGCATGTCAATGACGTCACGGATGCGCTGTGTCCCTGCTTACGGCGGCTGGCAAGGTTCAGTTAGGCGTGCGGAGCTAGAAAACCGTGAAGGGAGGATTCGCCTCTGCGAGGTAAGTCCCAACAATGGCTGACAGGACCAACCTTGGGGAAGGGCTCCTGGGGCCGCCGGGCCGGGGACTGGTGCCACGAGGTAGCGGTGGTTCTCCCCTCTTCGGTTCAAGAAAGGGCTGAGGATTGGTGGCGATAAGATGCCCAGTCTCTGTTTCTCCATTGTCGTCTTCGTTGTCCCTGTCCCTGGGGTGGCTTGCTTAGTGTCACTTTCTCCCAGTGAAGTCCAAGGGTGCGGCGATGCTTTCCCAGATGGAGTCCCCACGCAAGGTCTGCCAATATGCCTTTAGAGTCTGAATGAATGGTCAGTCCTCCGAAGTTGTTGCTCCACGCTTACTCCCTTCCTGCCCCCTCTGGCTGAGTCCAAGCTGGTGGCCCTCAGCTTAATCTCTCTCTGAAGTGGGTGGTAAGGTCTTCAGGTTTTATTTCCAGTGGAATCATCACTTCCTCACAGTTTTAAAATTCCTTTACAGCCACGGTGCATTCCTCACTCCCTTGTTACACCTTCCAGCTTCTTATCCCGGACCCACCACTCTTGCGGCACACTCACCTCACAGGCTCCCAATTCAGACACCTAAACTGCTTGAAGTAGTAAAAGGGTCCTGCTATCCTAGGAATTTATCAAGTATGTTGCTTATTTCACATAGCCCTGGTCAGGCAGAATATTTTACTTGAATTCAGATAGTCAGGAGCTAAATATATTTATTTCATATACTTACCTTTCTATCTATATATACTAAGCTATTCACATTTTTTGAACTGATCTGGAAATACCTGGGGTGGGAGATAAGGTAAATGTTTCTGGATTAACTACCTGAGAATTTCTTAACATCTAGATAAAGTGTTTTAGTTTTATAAAATACCATTGAAAAGACAAAAACATTTATTTTTTAAAAATTATTTTATTTACCTTTATTTATTATTATTGTTTTCCAATTTGATCAGAGAGAGACAGAAAGAGAGAGAGAGAGAGAAAGTGAGAAAGCAAGCCACTGGTTCTGAGACTTGAACTGCATTTGGCCATGTGGGAGTCCAGTGCCTTTAACCACCATGCCACCTGCCGGCCCCCAAAACTATTTTTTTTTAAATTGCCAGAGGTTGTGTGCAGTAGCGAAAGACAGAGAGGAAGGAGAAAGCACCTATCCCCCTGTGTGGTATGGTCACAATGCAATCCCTTCTTTTCCATCTCTCTCACTTGTTGGTGAGAGCCCAAAATGGGCTTGCAGGCACGTGCACCCAGGGTGTTTTTCAGGGTGCAGGACTGGGATTCTAATGATGGCCATGTGGCATCAAGCTCTCTTAACCACTAGGCTACATGGTGGCCTGACAAAAACTTAAAATTTCAATATAATACATGAGTAGACTTTTTAATTATTATTAGTATTTATTTATTTTTTATTTTTGGAGAGATTTTTGCTATAGGGCACGTGCACTTGCTAGAAAGACAGAGAGACAGAGACAGAAAACAAGAAATCACCCCCCGAGGGGATGGCCACTCCACAATCCCTTCTTGTCCATTCTCGTCTCCAGATTTTGGGCATGCACACATACGGGCCTGGCATGTTTTTCAAGCTGGTGGACCAGGACTTGAACCTCAGTTGGCCACATGGGATCCAGCTACCTTAATCATCACACCACTTAACTGGCCCAGAACCAACTTACTTTTCATGGTTGCCTCTACATGCAAAGAGTTGTTGTGTATCTGTATCAGAGTGAGCTAGAGAGAGAGAGAAAGTAAGAGAGCAAGCTTCCAGGTCTGGGACTTGAACCATGGTTGGCCATGTGAGAATCCAGCGCTCTTAACTTCCATACCATTTGCCAAGTCCCATGAGTAGACTTTTTTTTTTTTTTTTGGAGAGATTTTCACTATAGGGCGCGTGCGCTCGCCAGACAGACAGAGAGAGACATTAGAGACAGAAAGCGAGAAATCACCCCCCCAGGGGGGATGGTCACGCCTCAATCCCTTCTCCTCCATTCTCCTCTCGGGATCTTGGGCACGCACGCACACGCGCCCGGCGTGAGTTTTAAGCCACCGGGTCCAGGACGCGAACCACGGTTGACTACGTGGGAGTCCAGCGACATAGCCATTACGCTAACTGCTGGTTCCCATGAGTAGACTTTTTGAAGAGTTATCAGTTAAATCAGTGGAGGAAGGAATTTCATGTAGTAATGAATGGAGTCATTCAATAGAGTAGTGCTTCTAAAGTGAGAGTGATTTTTCGCATCCCTTCTATGTTCAGCAGTGACTGGAGACATTTTTTAAAAAATTATTTTATTTAATTTTTTTTAATTCATTTATTTTAATTTGACCAGAGGGAGACACAGAGAGAGAGAAAGTGAGGAAGCAAGCTACCAGATCTGGGACTCAAACCATGGTCAGCCATGTGGAAGTGTCCAGCACCTTAACCACCATGCCATAAATAACTTTATGTTTATTTATTTTATTTTGACCAGAGAAGGACAGAATGAGAGAACAAGAAAGAACAAGAGAGCAAGAAAGAGGGAAAATGAGAAAGCAAGCCACTAGGCCCAGGGCTCGAACCATAGTTGGTCAAGTGAGAGTCCAGTGCCATTAACCAGCATGCCACCTGCCAGCCTGTGACTGGAGACATTTTTAATTGTCACATTTGGGAAGTTCAGGTAGCATCTAGTGGGTAGAGGCAAGGATGCTGTCCAACATCATCCAATCCACAGGATGGACCTGGACAACAAGAATTATCTAGCCCTAATGTCAGTAGTGTGCTGTTGAGAAATCTGGATAGAGGATGAGGACAAGGGCTGGTAGGTGTTGTGGTGGCTAAGGCGCTAGACTCCCACATGGCCAACCACAGTTCAAGTCCTGGATCTGGTGGCTTGCTCTTTCATTCCCCCTCCCTCTGCCCCCTCTCTGGTCAAAAATAAGTAAGTATATAAATAAAAAATAAACTAATTAAAAAACAAAAAAGAAACAAGATGAGGACAAAAGAGAGACTGAGGTTACCACATGTACTCTCACTTCACATAGGTGTATTTATTAAACTCTTGTACTGGCCCCAACTAATCTTCAGAATCTGTACCATGCACACTGATGCCATTGCTTGTCATAGTCTTGGGATCAGGAACCTTGGGGTCCCGAAAGTCACATAGGAGTGATTCAAGAGAGTAAATATGGGGACCAGCAGTTAGCGTAATGGCTATGTCACTGGACTCCCACGTAGTCGACTGTGGTTCGAGTCCCGGACCCGGTGGCCTAAACTCACGCCGGGTGTGTGTGCGTGCGTGCCCAAGATTCCGAAAGGAGAATGGAGGAGAAGGGATTGCGGCGTGGCCATCCCCCCTGGGGGGTGATTTCCTGCTTTCTGTCTCTCTGTCTCTCTCTGTCTGTCTGGCAAGCGCACACGCCCTATAGCAAAAAAAAAAAAACCTCTCAAAAAAAAGAGAGTAAAGATGGAGAAGAGATGTTTAGATAACAAATTGTCTTCAGATATTTGAGGAATGTGCTAGATGGAAACAGATGAGATGTACTATGGGGTATATCATTCTGGAAGGCAGAACTATAGTCTGTGGGTAACAGTGAGGCAGATTCTAAAATTCATATTAAGAACTACTGTAGAACTGCCCAACTCTGTCTTGAAAGTGCCAAGTTTTCCATCACTGAAAAGTTTATGTGTAAATCCAATGACCACTGAGCACTAGTTGATAGAGCAGTTGATGTAAAAGATACTGTGTGATTTTGTGATTCTGTGCTTTTTTAAAAATAATTATTTTATTTAACTTTATTAATTAATTCATTCATTTTAATTTGACCAGATAGGGACAGAGTCAGCAAGAGAGTGAGAGAGGGAAAGTGAGAAAGGAAGCTGCCAGGCCCAGGACTTGAACTGTGGTCAGTCATGTGGGAGTCCAGTGCCACCTGCTGGCCCCATTGTGTGCTACTTTTATGATTCTTTTCAAGAACTCAAGGATCCTTATCATATAGTTCCTTGAATATCTGACCTGATAGGTGTCATTAATTTCTTTGTACCACTGCTTTTCAGATATAAAAAGCAAGGGATTGCTTTGCAATAAGCCAGAACAAATACATTGAAGGAGTTATTGGAAAGCGTTAATATATAGGTATGTATTTGCATCTGGGTGTTGTTCAGTATGCAAGACAGGGTAGCTGGTTAGTATGTAGCTGCTTTTTCATTATGTTTGAGACCTAATATTATGAGGAGGTTGTCTGAATCTATTTTTGCCCATGACCCTTAATTTCTTTTGGTCACTGTATCAGGCACTACCTGAGTTCTCTTTTTTTTCCTTCTCTCAGCAGACATTGAGATAATTAGGAGTGATTGACACATATGTTTTATAGTTAGTGCTTTAGGAAACAGGAAAGTTTGGGGCCTGCAGGTGGAATGGTGGTTAAGGCCCTGGACTCCTACATGGCCAACCACAGTTCCAGTCCCAGACTTAGCGGCTTGACAATCATGCTGGGCGCATGTACACATATGCTCAAAATTCCGAGAGAGAGTAGAGGAGGGATTGTGTGGCATGGCTATCGTCTTTGAAGGGGTGATTTCTCACTTTTCCTCTCTCTGTCTCTCTCTGTTTCTTTCTAGTGAGCATATGCGCCCTATGGCAAAAACAAAACAAAACAAAACAAAACAAAAAGGAAAGGTTTACTTATTTAAAAAAGAATGTAAGTTCCTGGGAGCAGGATCTTGGTATGTTCCTTGGATCTCAGATAGTAATGGTATAATTATTCCTTCATTCAACAAATATTTCCTGATCATCATGCATGTTCCAGGCAGTGGGTAAAACAGATGAAATCTCTGTCCTTGTGGAATTTATTTTCTGATATAATTGGTTTGGAGTAAGGCCAAGAAATCGGTATTTTTGCTTATTTTTTTATAGTTTGTTTTTTCAAAGTTTGTTTATTTCTTTCGTGAGAGAGAAAAAGAGAGACAAGCACCTTTGACAGGGTCTTGCCACCCTGCTATTCTCCCCACAGTCTCCTAGCCAGCAGGGTAATAGATATGGGTGTTCTTGGCAAGTTCAGATTGACTGGGGATCCAATGTGGGCCTCCCATGTGGCTCCAACGTTACACAGTAGTGCTCTACCACCCTATCGTCTGTGTCATTGAGCCTGGGCTGAAATCAGTGTTTTTTTTTTTTTTTTCCGAAAGGGTGCATGTGCTCGCCAAAAAGAGACAGAGATAGAGAGAGGGAAAGGACGAAAGCACCCTTCTGATGAGGCATGGTAATGCTACAGTAATTCCATTTCAGTTTCTCTATCCTGTTGGCATTTTGGGCATGCACACAGCTAGTGTGTTTTTCAAGCCTCCGGGACTGGAATTCAAACTGTGACTGGCCATGTGGGATCTAGCTTCCTGAACCATTAGGCCATGGGCCTAGGCCTCTGCTGGATTAATCAGTCTGCCTAGGAAGAAAACTGAGATTCAAATGTAGTTCTGTCTGAGGATATGCTATGTTGCTTCTTTTTTTTACATATACAATAGATCATTTTACTTTTTTTTTCATTCATACATGTTTTGAATGGAAAATAAGCTAATTCTCTAAATATTTAATCCCAGCTGACTTTTGCGTTAACTCAAAATGTGTACTTTTTTAGAAAAAGAATTGCTTATTTAATTTTCTTTCTCTCTTTCTTCATTTTTTTTATCCATAAAGTACTTTATTTTACTGCCTGCTTCTCTTATAAAACTAAATGGCTACCTTATTACATAAAAGATTTTTAAAATTTTTTTTAAAGAATTATTTTTTATTTAATTTTATTTATTTATTATTTATTTTTAATTTGATCAGAGCGGGACAGTGTGAGAAAGTGAGAAAGCAAGTCACCGGATCCAACCATGGTCGTCCATGTGCAAGTCCAACACTCTTAACCACCATGCCACCTGCCAGCCCCCATAAAAGTTTTGATACAGTATAAAACCAGAACTGTACATAAAATACTGCATCTAAATGTTCCTCAATAGTTAATAGTTAGTCTTGTTCCATTGTCATCTGTGACTTCTGTGTCTTCCTCGTCATTATCATGCATGATTCTGATATAACCTCTCCAGTTTTATTAGAGTTGGATCCCACTAATTATTCTGTTTCACCGCAGTCAGAACCACTACTTATGGGACCTGCATTTTCTCTACCTGGTGAATGTAAATCTTCTTCAGCTTGAGACAGATCAGATTTCTCCATTTGATTATTCTCCTCAGAAGTCTCTTCTTTCAGTTAAGACACCATCAGATTCTTTTTCTTGATTTTTTTCTTTCTGGGTTCATGTCTCTTGACATCATAAAAGACTCTTCTTCTTCCTCTTCCTGCTCTTCTTCATCCTCTTCTGTACAGTGCTGCCTGGTATAACTACTTACTTTGTCCTGAGAGGAAGAAGATGCTTCTGTTTCTTCTACCATAACAGAAGAAATTTCCCTGGAAGTTGTTTAGCTGGCTGTCTCTCTGACTTCACCTTCTTTGTCAAACCTGAATCTTTTTACCTCATACCCCTCAGCTTCCACAACATCTTCATCTGGATGTTTATTTTTTACAGGGCTCACTGAGGAAACCTCTGATTCAGACACTGGGAAGTCACTGTGATTTTTCTCTTCATTCCACTGTAAGTTGGACTCTTCGCTGGCTGTGCTCTTAGGCAAACCCTTAGTTGTCATGGGGGCTGACAGAGAAACCTTTGGTCGATTAAGTGGCCTGGGTGTTCCAAGTCCATTTATATTAGACCTGTCAGTATAGCTTGGTGAATTTTCAGGACGTTAACACCCTTCTTTTGATTTAAACTATTGGAACCATTTTTCTCTGAAGAAGGATAAACAGCTAACAACAATTACTTTCTTTTCTACTCCTCTGAGAAATTTATCTGTTCCTGTATAGTTTCTCCTTGGATCTATTAGCAGTTCACACAGTCACTGTATAGTGAAAGGGATACCATTAAATCCAGTGACAAATTTTCAGTATTCTTTCCTTCATTTCATCAGAGGGAATATATTCGACATTAGGATTGGGAGGAATTCTTGGTTCAGGAGCTAAAGTTCTGAAATCATCCATCACTTTCATTCTGATTTGAAGAAGGAGAGTATAGATGTTTCCCAGCCAATGCACCAAAATATGACATAGGAACACGGGGGAACAGGGGTGATCTGGACTATACTTGCAGTGAGACATGGGATTTTGTCCCATGCTTAGGAAGAAGTTGAGTTGTGGACAGAAGAGTAGGTATACCAAAGCGGGGAGTTTTTTAAAGAGAAGGAAGAAAAAAAAAAGAGTTCCCAAAAAGGGAGGGGTCCTGGAAAATAGGTCGCCCTAATTTTCTTTATTATTATTATTTAATTTTGAACAGAGAAAGAAAGAAGAAATAAGAAAAAGCAAGCCACCAGGTCTGGGACTTGAACTGCAGTTGGCCATGTGGCAATCAAGCACCTTATCCACCACACCACCCACTTGTCCCATCAAAATTTGTACTTTAAAGAAATTGCATTTTGGGAACCAGCAGTTAGCGTAATGGCTATGTCGCTGGCTTCCCACGTAGTCCACCGCGGTTCGCGTCCTGGACCTGGTGGCTTAAAACTCACGCCGGGCGTGTGTGCGTGCGTGCCCACGATCCCGAGAGGAGAATGGAGGAGAAGGGCTTGCGGCGTGACCATCCCCCCTGGGGGGTGATTTCTCGCTTTCTGTCTCTATGTCTCTCTCTGTCTGTCTGGCGAGCACACACGCCCTATAGCGAAAACCCCTCAAAAAAAAAAAAAAAGAAAAAAAAAAAAAGAAAAAAAAAAAAAGAAAAAAAAAAAAAGAAAAAAAAAAAAAGAAAAAAAAAAAAAGAAAAAAAAAAAAAGAAAAAAAAAAAAAGAAAAAAAAAAAAAGAAAAAAAAAAAAAGAAAAAAAAAAAAAGAAAAAAAAAAAAAGAAAAAAAAAAAAAGAAAAAAAAAAAAAGAAAAAAAAAAAAAGAAGAAGGAAAAAGAAATTGCGTTTTATGCAAGATTTTAGTCTTTGGCAAAATTGACATGGGACTGATAAAGTTTCCTCTATTCATTGCATTCCCTGAGTAGTGCTATGTTTACTCTGAACATAGTAACCATACAACTGAAGTTAAAGTCATTGTTCAGGAAAGAAACTGGGGGGGACCAGCAGGTGGCATGGTGATTAAGGCGCTGGACACTCCTACATGGCTGACCACAGTTCAAGTCCTGGACCTGATGACTTGCTTTCTCACTTTTCTCTTTTTCTGAGTGTCTCTCTCTGGTCAAATTAAAATGAATGAATGAATAAAGAAATAAATAAATCTTAAAAAAAGAGAAAGAAACGGAATAATTGAGGACACCAGTTTTTTTTTTTAATAATTATTTATTTAATTTTATTTATTCATTCATTTATTTTAATTTGACCAGAGAGAGATACACAGAGAGAAAGAGAGGGAAAGTGAGAAAGCAAGTCACCAGGTCCGGTATTCGAACCACAGTCAGCCATGTGGGAATGTCCAGCGCCTTAACTACCACACCACCTGCTGGTTCCCATGGACACCAGTTTTGAAAGGAATGGTATGGGGCCAGCAGATGGCATTTTGGTTAAGGTGCTAAACTCCCACATGGCTGACCATGGTTCGAGTCCCAGACTGGGTGGCTTGAAAACCATGCCAGGCGTGTGTGTATGTATGCCCCAAATCCTAAAGGAATGGAGAAGGGATTGTGATGTGGTCACCCCCCAGGGGGTGGTTTCTCATTTTCCTTCTTTCTGTCTCTAGTGAGCATGCACCGTATGGCAAAAATCTAAAGGGAAATTTTAAAAAAAGGAATGGCCCATGAGCTAGCAGATGGCATGGAGGTTTTTTTTTTTTCTTTTGGACAGATTTTTACTATAGGGCACGTACGCTTGCCAGAAAGACAGAGAGAAAAAAAGAGACAGAAAGTGAGAAATCACCCTCCAGGGGGATGGCCATGCTGCAATCTCTTTTCCACTCTCCTCTTGGGATCTTGGGCATGTACGCACGTGTGCTCTGCGTGAGCTTAAGCCACTGGGTCCGAGACTTGAACTGTGGTCGACCACATGGGAGCCCAACGACATAGTCATTATGCCAACTGCTGGTCCCCAGATGGCATGGAGGTTAAATTGCTAGATCCCACCATGGCCAATTGGGTGGTTCAAGTACCATACATGCTGGGTGTGTATGTGCATGTGTGTCTAAAATTCTGAGAGGAGAATGGAAGAAAGGGCATTGTGATGTGGCCATCGCCCCAAAGAGGTGCTTTCTTACTTTCACTCTCTCTCT